GACTCAGCAGGGAGCCAGGATCCTTACTTTGCAAACATGCTGAGGTGTGCAAGAGGTGGGCAGGGAGATGGTGGGAGGGCTACACCTGCCCTGGAGGGGGGGTAGTCTGCTTACAATAAAGGGAGAAAAAGAGGCTCCTTCTGATCTCACTGCTTTTGCTGTCTTCTACCTCCTTGAACTGTTGTCATTGTAGCAAACCACCATGCCTTGGAGCCAGCTGATTATGGACTGAAACCTCCACAAAATGTGAGCTAAATAAATCTTTCCTATCTTAATTTTGGGCATCGGGTATTTTGTACCAGCAACAAGAGAAAAGCAACCAGCACAAAATTTGGTATCAGAGAACTGGGGTTGTTGCTATGACTATGTCTGACCATGTGGTTCAAGAACTGTTGAGACTGTCTTGTGGGAAGAGATTGGAAAGCTTCAGAGATGTCACCTGAAAGAGTAGCACTGAAATGCCTTAGGCAGTTCTGTATGGGAGTTTCTTGTCAGAGCTCAGAAGACCAGAAGATTGATAGAATTTTGCCAGTAAAGACCAGGTTTGGGAGGTTTCTGCTGGGAAGAAAGAAAGCACTGGTTGATGGACTCCAGATGATGTGTGTTATGTCTTGGCAGGAAGTTTGTCTGTATTTTTCTCTTGTCCAGAGACACTGTCTGAGACTGAGATTAAGGGTGGTAGACTAATTAATCTGGCAAAAGAAATTTCAAGACAGTCAAATGTTGAGGCTGTGGCATGACTACTGTTGGGGGCATTTAGCCAGATTTATGTTACAAATCAAGAACAAAGAGGCCAGCAAGATGATTTAAAATGTTTTGAGTTTGGCCAAAAGTGAAGCTACAGTAAAACTGTGAACTGCAAGATAGAGCAGAGGAGATCTCGATTGCTGAGAAGAACCAGAATAGAAAAAATGGCCAGAGGGCATCACAGGAACAGGACTCCACCCTTTGCAGCCTTGAAACTGTAGAAGTGAAGGACAGCTTTGAGGAGAAAGATACAGAGAACCAAGCTCCAGAATGGTGGCAGCACAGAAAATTTGTTCTTCAGAACTGGATTCAGAGTGCCCAGCAATCCAAGCATTCAACTCCTACATGACAGAGGAAAACCTGGCTACCGCTCCAGCTGTAGCAGAGCTTTGTGACATCCATGTGGTACTGGTTTCAGGTGCATGCGGAACGCAAGAGCTATGAGGTTATGAAAGCTTCCACCTACATTTCAGAGGACTTAGAAGCCAGGCAGAGTGCACCCGAGAGGGCAGCATGTGAAGCTGTGAGTTGAAGCCAATGGTGCAGTGGAGACCCCAGGAGTTTGGAAAAGCCAGGAGCATGGATCATCTAAGAAAAACTGCAAGGAGTAAGCAATTCATGTCTAAGAGAAAAGCCAGAGGGGCTGGAACCACCAGAAGTATCATAAGGGTGGTCACACAAGTCCTTCAGAGCTCACGGTTTGCCACAGATTGCTTTGGATGCTGAATATGGAACCACAAGACCTAAAATTTGCTCTGCTGGATTTGGAACTTGCTTTGGTCCCAGTGCTTTGTATTCCCCAGTTTATAACTTTTGCAAAGAAAATGTTTATTTCTTTCTGTTGAATGTTGGAAGTGTCTAACTTTTCATTTGTACAGGAACTTGCAACTAAGAGTTTGCCTTCTGTCTCATAGGAGACCTGGGACTTGGACTTTTTAGCAATGCTGAGACTGTTAGGACAGTGGCTAGTCTTGCAGATGGACAAAACATCTTTTGCATAAAAGGATATGCATGAGTTGTTGGGGGATCTGGGGACGGAGGGTTGTGGCCCCAATGTAATATAATGTTGATAGACTGAATGCTGGTTCTTAAGGATTCTTAAACCTGTATTATAATGTTCAAGTTGTGAAATAATAATCATGTGTATTTGGTGACCAATTTAAAGAAATGTGTCCAGTTGTCAAATTAACATGGGGTGGATTGCAATGGTTGACACATTGTGTCAATCTGAAGAGTTTAGAAGTTTAACTAAGCAAATCAGCAAGGGATCGGAGTCCTTTCTTTCTTTTTTTTTTTATTTAAGAGGAAAAAGAGAAAAACACAAAACAAAACAAAGCGGTGTAAGGGTACACGTAATACAGAACTACAAAAAAAAAAATAACAGTAAGAAATCACCTGTTAGTAGATTACATATTATCATCTTGAAAATAGTTGCTCTTTCTTTGTAAACATCCTCCTCCTGGGCAAGAGGAGGGCTTGGAGATCTGCCGTACATCTGCCTATAGGGGGCAGCCTGCTTACAATATGAGGGAGGAAAAGAAGCTTGCTTTCCCCCTAACTTGCTCTTCTTTTGCTGTTCTTTGCCACCATAAACTGTTGCCATCTGCCCCACCACCTTTGATTGGAGCCAGCTAATTGCAAACTAGAACCTCCACAAGGTGTGAGCTAAATAAACCTTTCCTGTCTTAATTTTGAGTGTCAGATATTTTATCTCAGCAACAAGACATCTTCCCTTCCTTCACCCCTCTCTCTCAGCACAAAAGAAAGGCCACATGAGGACACAGAAAGCAGAAGGTGTGCATGCCTGAGAGAAACCTGACCGGAGGTTGAGCTAGGCACCCCTTCCTGGTAGACTGCCCATCCTCCAGAACCGTGGGCACAACGCGTCGTCGGCCAAGCTCCAAGGCATCTTGTCATGCAGCCTCTCGTGAGACAGTACTGTTTCATCCTGGCCCTGACACAGAGCCCCTCCGGGAGCAGACTATGAGCTTTGTCCTGCACACACTAAGCAAGTCTCATGCCAACCTCAGGTACCTGTGACTCAGGTACTATGGACTGCCCATTGTCTTTCACAGCAGCCCTCTGAGCTGCTTGCCCTGTCTTGTCTGCTCCTTCCTGTGGATGCCACAGTGAAGGCCCTGGCCCCCGATGTCCCCTGAATCTCTCAGCTCCTAACACTCTAGTGTGTCCTGAGCAGCCCTGGTTTACAGACCTGCTTCTGTTTGTGGGTAACTGTAAGCAGCATACTTCTCTCCCTATGCAGTTATCTTCATGCCTGTATACCTTAACACACCTGACAAACTAATCATGGTAGCCTGGAAGCATCTTTATGAATAATATCTCTGCCCTTGTAAGACAGGCGCATAACAAAATATGCTGTCTGTTTACATTTTAAAAAGTTATGATGCTGAAGGACACATATGCATTATTCTCCCTCAGAATCAAGCACAGTCCTGTTGTGCTAGGCAATGTGCCTTTTACTACAGTATATTTTTAAAAATTTAAAAATTCACCGTATATTTCAATCATTGCATTGTGATGTAAGAGGATTCATCCTTATTTCTGGCCACACTCTCTAGATACCCTCAATAAATAGTCCTCACTGCTCTCTGGGGAAAGACACTAATATTTATTAAGTTATTTGTGTGTACCAGGTGCTCTATATATATCACTTCATTAAAACTGAAGTCAGTTCTGTGAAAGTTGCCTAAACAGCAGGTGCCTGGGACACCTGCCTAGGGCCACATAGCTAATAAAGATCAGGTGCTGGATCCCAACCCAAGAAGTTTGGATTATGAAGTCATGCTCTTTCCACAGATGGTATCATAAGGTTTCTGTCAGATAAACCAAGGTGTGTGGGAGAAGGACCCACAACTCTGGAGTTTTGACTCAAGCAGGTGGCTGTAGGGATGCGTGGGCAGAAGCTGGCTGCTGTGACTCTGAGTGGCACCATGGGCATGATATCACAAGTCTCCTCTCCTTTACATCCCCACTAAGGCGGATTTCCCACACAGTGTCACTGGCTCACATGTTGGTTTTTTTTTTGTTTTGTTTTTTGTTTTTTTTTTTTTTTTTTTTTTTTGGTCTTTTTCCTTTTTATCGGTACCTGGGATCGAACTCATGACTGCCCACTTGCAAGGCAGGCACTTATGCCGCTGAGCTAAATCCCCAACCCCAGCTCACATGTTGTTAAAGGGAGTTCAAATTCACTTCCACATAGGGGTGTCTTCGTCTCTCTCCTACCACTAGGGCAGAATACCAATACCAGACACGTCCAATGTAAACGAAGAGGGGCTTATTTGGGCTCACAATTTTTGAGGGTTTAGTCCATAGGCCACTGCCCCAAGGCAGAAAGGAACTGGAGAAGGAGAGCTGCTCACAACATGGTGGCCAGGAAGTAGAGAGACAAGGAGCCAGGCGGGGAGATCGAGTTTTCCAGGTCACACCCCAGTCCCCAGAAACCACCTCTTCCAACCGAGCCCCACCACCTAACAATGTACTCAGCTACTCAATCATCCATGAGGAGTGCAGCATGCTGTGATCCAGCCACCTTCCACACACAGCGTGATTTGGGGGGAACATTTTAGATCTGCACCATAACTTTGGGAACTCTGTTAACAATGTTTTATGCTGAAAATGGTGTCCCAAAAGGGGCATGGGATGATGGGTACAGGAAGTAAGCCAACCTCCAATGGAAGATCCATGAAAAAGCAATTAATCTGACATTCCTTCTGTGCCTCACTTCAAAACCCTGAGCACAGCATGAAGCGCAGAGAGTGTAGGTTTGTGAATTCACGTCGCTGGTCTCATGCCCACCTCTCACCTCACATGTTCATGTCCCATTCCCCACCCTCTTGGCTGTGGTCCTCAAGAACCAAGCTGAAGCCAATGCTTACAAGGTCATTCTCTGCTCCAGGAGTGACAGGAACCAGGAGAGGCCAGGTGGGGGCAGGACCAATAGGTGCAGAGCAAATCAGCTGCTCTGTGGAATCAAGAGCACTTGTGTCCTGCATCACCAGCCACCTTCCAAGTGGCTCCACTTGGTCTCAGGAGAGTCTGTCCAGGCAGAGCAAGGGAGAAGAACGGACCTGCCAACTCCCATCCTGCAGGCTCAGCGCTGTCATCATGGCAGGTAACCTGTCAGAATCTTTCCTCCCAAACTCCGAGCTAGGGGTTCGAAGGAAAGGACAGCTTTGCTTCCTATTCGAGACCCATGCAACCCAGCTCTCCTTTGCAACTACACAGAAACTTACTGTTTTCTGTTGAGCTGTGGAGGCCAACGCGCTCAGCCCAGGGGACCCATGTGGGAACACAGGAGGCAGTGTTTTCAGATTCCTAGAAGGGGCAACAAGAAGGACCAGTCCTGCCCATCAGTCACCTTTACTCCAACTGTTGGAAGCCAATGACTGGTCCTGCAGAAAACCACCCTGTGAACCCATCATGGCCCTGGGTGGACATCTGCAGGCCATTCCTCTATCCTCCCAGGCCCGCAGTTGCTGTGGGAAGGACACACAGTGACATCAGAGGACCCTGTGGTCACGTGCCCATTGCTGCATTTATTTAGTTATCACGTGGGCTCTGGGATGCCTTAATCTGTTCTGGCTGCTCCAAGAAAATGCCACAGACTGGGAGGCTTCTACATGGCTGCAGTTATTTCAGACAGTTCTGGAAGCCAGAAACCCCGGGGACAAGGCACCACAGCTGCAGTGACAGAGGAGGGCCCACTGCTACATCCCAGCTCATCCATCACTGTCCACTGTGGGGGCGCCGCTGTGCTAGATAATTTTCAGTCACTGTGACCCAACAACTTGAAGATTATTTTGGCTCATAGTTTTTGAAGTGTTAGTCCAAGGCTGGCCAGCTCTAAGGCAAATAAGCACAGCGGAAGGCCATGGAGTAGAAGGGCTGCTCTTCTCATGGCCCCAGGAAGCAGAGGGGAAGGGGCCAGGGGCAAGACACGGTCCCCAGAGCTGCACCCCCAGGACGCGCTTCCTCCACAAGGCCTTACCTCCAGTTTCCATGACATCCATCCCCACGCCGAGATGGGACTCTGATTTCATAACTGTCGGAACGCTGATGAAGTGAGGGCCCTAGAGCCCCAGGCTCCTCCTGAACACATGAGATGGGGCGTTTTACATCCTGAGAGTGATAGGCAGGGATCCCTGTCCTCACAGCCTAACCCTCCTCAGGCCCCTCTAAGGCACCATTAAATTAGGAACAAGGCTCCAACATCTGAATTCGGGGCAAAGGTAGCACAAATAATCTAAAGCACCTAGCATGTTAGTTTCCTGGGGTTGCCATGACAAAGAGCCATAGCCCATAATTCAAACCAACCAAAATTTATCCATTCAGAATTCCGGAGCCAAACAGTCCTCGTCCAGGTGCCTCCTGGGGTGGGTCTTTTGAGGGATTCCTAGGAGAACTGGTGGGAAGCCTTTGTGCTCCCTTTGTGGGCTTCCAACCCTGGCTGTTGTTTCCTGGGATATGGACCCGCCATCCAGCTGCCAGTGACATCATGGCTGTCTCCCCAGGATGGTCTGAGGATTTTCATCTCTTCTCATATGGCCAAGCTGTCTAGAACCTTCCCTAATCGAGCAGGGCTCCACTCTTTTGTCTATTTAAATAAAGTCACAGAGGTTACACCTTCAACAGCTTTTGAGAGATCACAGCTCAACCCCTCAGCATGGAAGGGGATAGTACTGTGCGGGATGGCTCAGCCCTGTCTTGGGTAGGGAGGCCAGGAGGAGGCAAGAGAGGCAAACTCAGCCGGATCCCAGGTGGGGGGAGCCCCCTCTCGTGGGCACCAACCAGTGCTCCCGGGGGAGGGAAACAGACCATCAGCCCTCTCTCAGAGGACCCTGTGGTCTCCCACAGGAGCCATCTGCGGCCTGGCATTGGCCTCCTGCTGCTAAGTTAGGCCTTCAGCTGTAGCTGCAGCTGGTTGAAATTTGATGGGACACAGCTCATGCAGCAGTGCTGTCCCTGCCCTTGGGACAGCTCAGGAGTTCACAGTGCCACAAGAGCCAGCCACAGAGAGGTGCCAGCTGACGTCCACAAAACAAGTCACCTGCTTAGCGGGCATTGAGTCCCAGCACTGGTGGGTATCAGCACGGAATCTAAAGAAGTGCCATGTTGTCCCACAAAGTCCACAGGTGCCCTGCAGTGCCCTGTCCAGCTTCCTTGTTGTCCCCTACCTTCCCAGGGTGTCCTACACACAAAACCAGTCTCCAAAGCCAGGCCTCCAGGCACCTCTGCACCACAGGCCTCTCCTCTGGCCATGTGAAGTGGAAGCCATGCCCTGAGTGCAGACCGCCAGGCCACTGTCTGTACCCCCATGTGGGGTCACTCTGGGGTGCTGCAGGGCCATTGTCATTCATTCTCAGCTGCCTACACCACATGGCACCAAGCCACCTTCACCAGTTCAGGATGGGGCTGCAGGGGACAGATTGGGGAAGAAGAACCCGACTTCTCGCTGCTTGGTCTCCAGCAGGTGGGAACCAACCCATGTCCAGGGGACAGTGCTGTGGCCTCTTGAGGCTCAGACTTCAGCCCAGCTGCAACACATGTTGCTGGCAGGTATGGTACTGAACACTCCCCTGTGCCCACCACCTCCAGGCTGGGCCTCCACTCCCCAAAGCCCACCGCCCACAAAGCCCCAGACATACTCTGGCCGGCCACATGGGGGTGACACAGCAACACGAGACTTTCATCTGACACTGAGGGAACAGGGGCTCAGTGATCTATGAGACTCAAGCAGCAGCCTTCCCCTCCTTCTGCAAGATGCCAACTCCTGGAGAGACCACAGCTCTTTGCCCTTCCATCTCCTCCCACAGAAAGGGGCAGAACGAGTTTACAAAGCCTCCCAGTGGGGGAAGGATCAGCAGGGAAGGTGGGAATCCACCACACCTTCCTTGGTGCTAAAGGACAGAGACGTACTTCCCTGTTCTGCCCCATAGTAGCAGGGGACAGCAGTCTTCCCATCCACCACCGTTGGCTGGAACACCCTTATAATTGCCCCCTATAGTCTGAAGCTCAGAAGGAAACCTTACCTCCTGGATAGGGGCTGCCGTGTTTTCCCAAGGAGACTGTTGCAATATTCATCAATCGGATGCTTCTTTTAATGGGGATGACTTAGGTCAGTGTCCCTCCCCTTGCGTCAGAGGATACTTGCTGCTGCAGGAGGAGAGGAAAGCAGAGGATATGATGGCCATGACCTGGTAGGAAAGTCAGGCGCTTTTCTGGAGTATGTGGACCACAGTGTCCCCCTGTCCACATGCCTGCTCCTGGCAGGGACACTTGGCTCTGTGAGCCTGAGCCACGCAGGAAGGCCTCACCTGTGCTCCGTCCCACAAGCCAGCCAGCCCTCTGGGGAGGGTCCTGCCACCCTGGCTGTTCCTGTCTTTGGTCAGTCCCATCCTCCCAGCTGAAGCCCCAGTGCCAGCAGGAGATGGAGGCACCCAGAATCTATCCTGAACCCAGAAATCAGGAGCACCAAAAAGTGATTATTTCATACAGCCCAGTTTGAGGTGGCTCACTGTGGAGAAATAGCACTTGGAACCAAGGTTAAAACAAGTCTAGACCTGTAGAACACAAGTCTAGACCTGTAGAAAACCCTCTCCTGTCTGCGTGAGGGCCACACCTGTGGTAGGACAGGTGACACTGAGGCATGATCTGCAGGGGAACTAGGACTTAGGGCACCGGCAGGGAGGACATCCTACCTGTCACTCAAGAGGTTCCATGCTGGGCTTCCCCAGAGCCTGCTGGGCTCTGCAGACACCAACCACAGCGCAGTCACTTTTGTCAGCATCCCTGGAGACACAAGAGAGCAGGGAGCCAAGGTCTCATTCACACAGACGCATCCCTGGGTCTGCAGGTTCCCCAAGGTTGCCCACTGCTGGCTCCCTTCTAGCACCTGCCACGATTTTGCAACTAGAATTTGTTTCTGGCTGCAGATCAGCACCCCAGAGGTGGCAGAATGGTGTCTAGAGCATCTCACGTTACTGATGCTTCCAGGGCTGCACTTGCATCCACAGCCAACCACTGCTGGTCCTGTGGTCACAGCTGCCTCAGAGGGACAGCACTGGACCCCAGTGCAGGTCAGGCGGTTGGGCTGGAGGCTCAGCTCTGCAGCTGATCTGACTTGAATCTGTGGTCAGCCCAGGGCTGAGGTTCCAAGCTGACAGGATCAGCTGGGGAGACATAAGCACAAGCCCTGTGCTGTCAAAGGCCCAAGGTGACACCCTAGCTACAGGCTCAGGAGCAAAGCTGCATAGTGTCTTGCTGTCTCCTGACGCTTTCTTTGTCACTGGGATAAAAACCCTCATACCCACAACGTAAGGAAAAGAGGTTTATTTTGGCTCACACTTGTGTCCATAGTTGGCTGGATCCTAGGCAGGAAGGTGTGGTGGAAGGGCCTGCTCACATCACGGGGGCCAGGAAGCAGAGAGAGAAGGGAGGAGCCAGGGAGGGAGATGCACCCTTCCAAGTCACACCCATTGATCCCCTTTTCCTGCCAGCCCCCACCTCTTAACAGTAGGGGACACATCATGGGTTGATGCATTCATGAGTATGACACCCCATGGTCCAACTTGCCTTCCCAAATCCCTGTCTCTGAATATACAAAACTTTGGGGACATTCAGATTGAAACGTAACCCTGTCTGGGATGACAGCTGTCCCCTGAGAGCTGGAGTCTCAGCTCTGGGGGGACACACAGTGAGAGCCCACTGCTGCTGGTTTGTTGTACAATTATACCCCACCTCAGCCCCTGAGGAGATGCAGGGTGGGCTCAGAGCTGGCTGCCAGCAGGAGCCTTTCCCCAGAAAAAAACAGAAGCTCAGAAACTGGAGGTTCAGGTCAGGCTCCCTACAGCCGCTGGAAGTGCCTACAGCCTACAGCTAGTGCCTACAGCCGCTGGAAGCTGGTGGTTGCTATGTTAGGGCTGTGTTCTGTGAAGAGGAGGAGAGAGTGGCTCTGTAGAGGGAAACAGCAGAGAATTTCAGGACAGAGAGGAGCAGAAGGAAAGACTGAGGCGCTCCGAGGAGAGCTGAGAGTTTTGCCCTCCCCAGAGCCCTCCATCTGGCTTCTATCAGCCACTGTCGCATGATGGACCTTGAAGGGGATTCTGCTTCTTGTCCCATCCCATCACGTCCTCCACACTGGCAGCCACGTACCAGGAACAGTCAGGAGCGCATCTGGAGGCTGCTGCCAACCCGATCCAGGAACGCCCAGTCTTGCTTGATCATCACAGGAGCCAGGTCCCAGAGGGCACGAGGAGTGACACCTGGAGCACACATGCCCATGGGTTCTGCTTCTTTTTGCAGGCTTGAATGGGAACTCAAGATCCCAAATGTTCTGGGGCAAGTGCACTTCTACCGGGCTACAACATAGCCCACGGCTGCAGAGAGAACAAGCCTCTGAGCTTCCTGAGTCATCCCCTGGAAGGTTTAGTCAGCACCAGCCATTTGTGGGACCACATTGGGGTTCCCCAATGCGACAACACCAGCCCATCATCACAGTTCACCATCTACAAACCCTGCTCAGGAAGAGAAGGACAGAGCTCCAGACATCCCAAGTTGGAAAGGCACAGGCCAGGTAATGTCTCAGGATACAAATGACAGGAGATTTAGAACAAGGTGGCCCCTCAGTGCCAGGAAGTCAGGTGCACGTGGGAGGACCTAAAGGGCTGTAGAGACCATGACAGCCCCACTGTGCTGGCATCACGCTTGGCCCTCTGACCCCACAAGGCCTTTCAGAGAGGGGAGCTGCTGCAGTCTCAGCTCCATGGAGTGTCTGAAACGAACAAGTGAGAGCCAGAAAATGGCCCCACGTTCTGCATGTGCAAGAGCCTATGTCTGTCTTCCTCCATCGACCACATGGAGGACACTTGTTCCAGCTGACTGTCCTGATGGCAGAAGCTGCTGGGCTGGGGAGGACAGAGACCCCCAAAGGCTTCCCTGGGCATGGAAGATGTCCCAAGTGTGGATGGAGGAGACACCTGTGTGGAGCTAAGGTTGGGGTCTTGCAGCTGCGTAGCGTCCCTCCCTCCCCAACTGAAGGCCCCTCCAGCCTGATCCATCCACTCCTCCCTCTTCCTTCCTCAACAGCAGTCCCGCCATATCTTCTCTTAAACAGATGTTTAGCAGCAACTATCTTTGAAGGCACAGAGGTGGCCTGTTCACTTTTCTCACCCCTAGGACACAATCCTGACATGCACGAGTTAAGAAAGGTTTGTTTTGACTCAGTTTGTGAAGTTTCAGTCCGTGGTCAGCTGGTTCCAAGGCAGGGCAGCATGGCAGAGGGGAGAGAGTCCATGGCATGGTGGTGGGGAGCAGAGGGATCAAGGGAGCAAAGGCAGATGGACCCTTCTGGCCATTCCCAGTGACCCACTTCTTCTTATTTCACCTCCCAGCATCACATCAACTATAAACTCATCAGGGAGACAATCCACTGATACATGCTGTGCCCCCATGACCCAGTCACCTCCCCAAGTTCCTCCCATGAGCTTTGAGGAACATGCAGACATAACTATCACACCATGTGAACTGCCCCCTTCCGAAATCAGATGGAGAAACAGACAGTGCACAGTGTAGATGATAGAGTGAGCGTACATGGGTCAGTTTCCAGTCTCCAAGGACGAACCCAAGGTCAGGGCCTCAGGCTGCTCCAGAGCACAGCCTGGGTGTGGCAGCAGCACCACGTGGGCAGCAGCACCACGTGGCTGGGAGCTCAGGTCCTTTCCCTCCCTGGAGCTCAGCAGCGGTGTCTCTGTAGGAGCTCAAGAGCAGTGGCCCCTGCTCTGTCCCTGGGCAGAGTCACTGTAGGATGGACAGACCTAATTGCGAGCTGCAATGAAACCAGGCCTGGGGGGGCGGAGAACAGACCCCCCCCCCCCCATTGTAGACAAGAAGTGGCAAACTCGGGCCGGAAGGTGCTGTATCATTCCTGGTCCATGAACACAAGGCCGCAGAACATGATGGGGCAAAGAGCTCATCGCTGGAGTTGGACCTCACTCACACGCAGGAGGCTAGGAAAGCAAATTTGAGAGGGCTCTGCCAGCTCACCCGGGTCCCACTGTGATGGCCAGGGTGGCTTAGGAGACCTGGGAAGCCAGTCCCATGCACGCTAACAAAGCAGAGCCACAGAAAGAGCCAGGGAAATGACCTGGGCCCTCCAGGTCTGCACAGGAATCAGGGCCAAGGACACGAGTACACCGGCCCCAACCATCAGCAGGAGGGCACAGGGATGCCACCTCTGTCGCCACCACAGGCCCTCCCTCCTGTTTCCCAGGCCCTGCCCAGTTCTTTGTCTGGCCAGCCCCATCCCGAACTTGCAGTGAAAGGGGATTCTGTGACACAGCCCGGCTCAGCCAGATGTGGAAGGTATAGCCTAGCACAGGGGCAGAGCTTCAGGGGCCTCGGAAGAGCTCACTGTGGAGGCTGGGGTACCCATAGCTCAGAGCCACCTTCCCTGGGAATGTCTGCCAAGTGGGTCTAAGGGTTAGAGCTTAAGTGGATAACACCGGGCATGTGCAGGCACACACACACACGCACACACACACACACACCACAGAGCCCTGTATTGCCTGTATTGTCTTTTGTGGAACTATTCTTCCCGGCCATCCCAACACTGTACATTTGTCTTCCTCATCTTTCTTTCCTCACATCAGGGATTCCACCAAGAATCTTCTGCCTCCCATTTTCTACCTGGAAAACTTCTAGTTCTCTGCAAAATTCAGGTTAATTATCACTTCCTCCATGAGGCCCTCCCTGCCCACAGCTAGATAAGTGATTGAAGTGGTTGGTGTCTTCTTCACAGCATGTTAGATGTGTCACTAATGTGGTACAGGCTCTCTCTGTCTCTGTCTCTGTCTCTCTCTGTCTCTGTTTCTCTCTTAACAGTCCACTTAGCTGTGCCACCATCTTTCAATGGACGCATCTCATTCTGCTCATCTTTGCACACTTAGCACCCCAGAGAGGGATGGCTTTGCTGCTTGGAAAGACAGACGAATGCACATTTCCCTGGCGATGCCGCCGATGAGGTTCTGTGAATTTTGTCTGCTTAATTGGAAGCCACTTGATTAGTGGGAGCTGGCACAGCAGATGCTGTAGGAAGAAGCAGTGAGGAGATGATGGAGATCATGTTTCCCACTCTGTCCCTTCCCCGGGGCTAGGAAGCTGGCGGAGGAGACAGTCACATGTGTAGATGAGGAAGGGGAAACTGTGGTTAAAATCCGCTCTCTCTGCTTCCTGTCTGCACAATAGCGCGAACGTGACCCATGTCTGGTGCCAGGCATCTCCTGCTTACTGAGGATTCGAGGAGTGGGCAGTGATAGGCCACCTGCAATTCCCGGCAGCACAGGGCCAGAGCCTCCCCATGACCAGATGATCTGGCTCAGGGCTTGCACAAGGCAAAGCCAGACTTTAGGAGCAGCTGTGGGTAACACAAAGTAGAAAAAGGACAAAATGTCTTACAGCAAAAGGGATACACCTCAACCTAATGAGGTGACTCAAGGAACTAGAAAAGCAAGAACAAGCCAAATCCAAAATAAACAGGAGGAAAAAATATAAAGACCAGAGCAGAAAAACTGAAATAACGAAAACAAGCCCAAATAGGGAAGTTCAATAAAACAAAAAAGATGACAAAATCAATGAACCTTCAGGTAGACTAGCTAAGAAAAAAAAAATACCCCAATACATAAAATCACAGATGCAAAGGGAGATGTTACAACTGGTACAATTTTAGAAACACAAACGATCAATAGGCATTATTGGGAACATTATGCACAAAACTGAGGCACCACAGTACCTTATTTCAAGACATATTATAATGCCCCAGTAGAGATATAAAGAGAAAGGCGGTCCCACAGGATTGAAGAGAAACAACAGAAACACGCAAATACCTCCATAGCCAACTGATTTTTGACTGCTTCCAAAAACACATGTTAGAGAGGCTGGTAATCAGGTGTGTGCACACCAGCCACCATCAGGGACCCTTCCCACCAGTAGCCAGCTCTGGTCAGGAGAAGCAGCAACCAACCACACCCTCACATCCATGCTGGCTGCTATCAGGGAGCTTCCTGCAGGTAACCAGTACAGGCTGGGAAAAGAAGCCATCCCTGCAACAGCACATCCAGTGGCCACCATCGGATACCCATAGCCAGCACTGGCCAGGAGAACCAGCCAGTCATGCTTTGGAGAAATTGTAGCCAATACAGGAAGTGCCTGGGACCCCACTACTCACCTGCCCAGAAGAACCCAGGAAAATGTCAAGACAAGGAAGCAAAAGGCAGTCTCTGGACTCCAACCCAAGCAGAGCAAGCACAGGAGATGTAAACAGGAAGAGATCAGGAGTCGCACACCTGAAGTTTCTGAAGCAATGGCAACTGAAGTAAAGAAACAACTTCTTGAAGCTATAAAATAAATCGGAACAGAGATACTGTCTCACGTAAAAAACAAGATGAAAAACATAATAAAAAGAATTGCTGAGCATCTCTAAAGAAGACATAGATTAAAAAAAATAGAGGAGCATAGGAAAATGAGGGAAATCTTGAATGAACAATATAAGAAAGATTTAGAATGCGTGAAGTAGATTCAAAGAGATATCCAGGAAATTAAAACCACCATTAAAAGCTGGCAAAATTGCTAGAAGATAAATCTTCAGACCTTGAAGACAGGTTTGCAGCTAGTGAGCATGAAAGGAAAATCTCTTAATAACGAGGAACCAGGAAATAACAATTCAATGGCTGCAAGACAGTGCAAAAAAAAAGTAATTTAAGAGTGATAGGTGTCAATGAAAATGCAGGAGTCAACACAAATGACATAAAAAGTCTACTTAGAGAGCAGCAGAAAACTTCCTAAGCATGGAAAAGGATGTGGCACACAGATAAGTGAGGCATATAGAACTCCAACTAGCCATAGCCAAAATAAATCTATACCCAGACATATAATAATCAAGACCCCAGAAGTTCAGCACAAGGACAGAATATTAAAAGCTGTTTAGAAAAAAGAAGCAGATTACCTATAAAAGAAAACCCATGAGAGAATCACAACAGACTTCACAACACAAACCATCAAGTCAAGAGAGCTTGGAGTGTTTACAATCCTGAAAGAAAACAACTTCTTTTTCTTTCTTTTTTTTTTTTTTTTGTCTTTTTGGTTTTTATTGGTACCAGGAATTGAACTCACGACTGCCTGCTTGCAAGGCAGGCGCTTATGCTGCTGAGCTAAATCCCCAGCCCCAAGAAAACAACTTCTAACCCAGATTGATGAACCCTGCAAAACTATCTTTCAAAATTAGTGAAGAAACAAGATACTTCCATGACAAAGAACAACTGAAGGAATTCATGACCACCAAACCAACCCTACAAAGAATGCTGAAAGATATTCTAGAGAGAGAGTAAAAAAAAAAAAACGACCACAGTTCCAGGAGCAGTGGCAAAGGGGGATCACCAAGTGGGGCAGACAATTGAATGGAGTGGAAAAGAAGGCAGCCAACAGCAGGAAAATAGCATAGACAAACCAGTGCATGTTGGCCATAACCATTAATGTAGATGGCCTCAATTCACCAATAAAAAGAAACACAGGCAGAGTGGATCAGGAGACAGGACCCATCAGTATGCTTTATACAAGAAACACATTTAATGTGAAAAGAAAATCAAAGGAGAGAAAACAACACTCTATGTGACAGAGAACCAGAAAAAAGTAGGGTAACTTGCCCATCAACTGCAGAATGTAAGAAAGATACAGCATTTTAATACAATGGAAAACTACTCAGCTATGAAGAATGAAAACCTTGAGGCGCTTGTAGGTAAGTGGATACAACTTGGAGTCATGTTCATGGGTGAAATGGTTCAGTCACTGGGAAAACATCTTGTCGCTCTAGTATAAAATCTAAAGATGTTGTTAGGATCCTAAATTCACTGTAGATACTGTGAAAGTGAAAGGGGAGTACATCTTGCCCAAGATAGATGGCCATCACCAAAAAGACAAAAAGCCAGGGCTGGAGGGGAAAAAGGGACTCTCAGCCACTGCCACTGTGATGGAAATTAGGACAGTGCTGCAGAAAATAGGATGGAGTTCTCTCAAACAGTGAGCTAGCACCAGCACAGGAACCAGTGCCCCCCCCCCTTACACTCCTGTGTTAGTGTAGCACTATTACCACAACTGAGACAGAGAATCCAAAGAAACAAGCAATGAGGGGTGCACAGCTGGACAGGACTCCCATCCCTCCCTTCTCTCTCTGCGTCTTCTTCCCACCAGGCCCCTCTGCCTCAGAGCTGGCTGGCCATGGGCTGAAACCTTACACACCGAGAGCCCAAATGGACCTTTCTGCTTGTACTTGCAGTTGTCCAGTGTTGGGTTCCAGCGCCGAGGCCCCTCCACATCCCCACCACCCCTCCTGTCTTCTTCAGTTTTCACGTCATCTTTCTGAGATCCCACGTAGCAGGGAGAACGTGTCATAGTTGTCTGAGCCTGACTTAGTCCTCCAGCTCCACCCACTGTCCTACAAACTAAAACTAGCACTTCCATCGGCCCCGGCTGCACCACCCTTGGGAAACACTCCAGGGAATTCAGGGTAGCCTCGCCCAGGTCACCCGCACGCTCATGCCCACGCTAGCCGACACGCGGCTCCAACCTTGTGCCCGTGGACAGAGGAGCAGAAAAAGAAGTGCAAACTACTCATCTGTAGAGAAGACAGCATCCTGTCTTTGCAGAGAGCTGCTTGTCTTCTGTGCTCCCTGGGTACAGGGCACAGTGAAAAGGGACCCTCACACACCGTTGTACCCCAGGCAGGTCATGACCAGGGTTTCCTTTCTTCACCCTAAGCTCAGGACTAGGAGAGAAGAGCCAAATGAGGAAACTGAGGCTGGGGCAGTGGACTGACTTCCCTACTGCCATGAGGAAAGGACACTTTTCTGCTGTCTGAAATGTGAGCTTGGACTGCAAGGCCCAAACCCTTGGACATCGGATCACTTTTTCTCACTGACCAAAGGTGATTGTGAAGACAAAATACAACCAAACAGCCAACACAGCCACTCAGAACCTTGGCAACTGGGAACCTGGCCCCCAAACTCATTCTAGACTGTGGCAGCTGCTCAGAGAAGCACTTTCAGAGTGCCAGGATTCTCCGCTTCGGGGTTCTCAAGAAAGAGCTTAGAAGCCGGGCATGGTGGTGGCACACACCTGTAAACCCAGTACTTGGGAAGCTGAGGCAGGAGGATCATTGCAAGTTTGAGACCAGCCTGGGCTACAAAGTGAACTCAAGGCCAGCCTGAACTACATAGTGAGACCTTGTCTCAAAAAGACAAAAAACAAAACAAAAAAATCGCATAGACAATAAAGCAAAGATGGCCCTGCAGCCTGACTTTGAGCCTGAACTCTTTCTACAATCACTGGCTGGACATCTGTGACAGCCAGGCTCTGGGCTGGAGCCGGGGAGTCTGGCAGTCCAAGGACAGATGTGGCCTTCATCTTCAGAGCACAGGGCCTGGGGCGTCACTGTAAAACTCCCCTCCCCCCAGTGCCCCTAAGAAGGGCCGCCTCTGGTCTCTCGCAGGGACTGAGGACAGCTTAGTTCTGATTCCACGGGGCCCACACCATGTAGCCCTGCTTTCGTGGTTCTTTCTAATAACGCCCAAGAACCTGGGCCTGGAGTGAGCTCATGATTTTTCTTGAGGGTCTTGCTTTTATGATATTGCCATTTTTTTCATACTGGGGATTGAATTCACGACCCCACGCTTGCTAGGCAGGTGCTTATGCCACTGAGCTAAATCCCCAGCTCTGATACCACCATTTTATAATTTTGTAGTTTCTTTCTGTTCCACCTGAACTCAGGGATCACTGGACAGATCTTACATCTTTCTTACTTCTTCCCCATGTTTGTCCATGGGTATAGAGGCTAAATTCCCAATATCTCCATCATCCAATGAGGGTATAGAGGCTAAATTCCCAATATCTCCATCATCCAATGAGGGTATAGAGGCTAAATTCCCAATACCTCCATCATCCAATGAGGGTATAGAAGCTAAATTCCCAATACCTCCATCATCCAATGAGGGTATAGAGGCTAAATTCCCAATACCTCCATCATCCACTGAGGCCATCATACCTTCCCCATAAATCGCTGCTGTTATTTTTGCCTGCTGTATATTGGTCACCTCTCCACTGCTGGGGAAAAATACCTGACACGCACCATTTAAAGGAGGAGAGGCTGATTTTGGTTCCTGGCTTTGGAGGCTTCAGTCCATGGGCAGGTGGCACCAAGCCAGAAACATCACAGCAAGAGAGGACAGATGAAAGCTGCTCTTTCCTGGCAGCCAGGAAGCAGAGAGCAGAGGATGCTGGACTGGGGGACCAAGCCAGAGACAGGACACACCCTACAAAGCCCCGCCTCCAAGGGGCTCACTTCTCTTCTCCCATGAGTCCCACCTCCTCCTCGTAAGTGCATCCACTGTGAATTCCTCAGTGGGCTCGCTCGTGGGTGAGGCTGCACCCCCACATCCCACGTGTCTGTCTCCCCACTTTTGAACATTGCTGCGCTGGGGACTGTGCCCTGGGGTCTTTAAGGAACATTTCCTATTTAACACGTGATGGGGGGAGTCATGTTTGCTGTCCCAGAGACCACATGGGTTCCATCGTGTGGGACATGGACAGCCTTCATGGATTGCTCGGCCATTCTCAGTCCCAAACTCAGAGTTCCTGCAGCTGAGTGGACAAGGGTAGAGCGGGACCAATGGCCTCGTCCATCTCAAGGCACAGGCACCTTCAAGTCAGGGATGCTGGGCATGAAGCAACAAAAGTAATCCGAAAAGTTTTTAAGGAGTTTCATGGAGTTTCAAG